TTACTTACCCTTGTATTTATATCTCCAGTCACCTTCAGACCCCGCTGTAAATCCCACTGCCTTCACAAGCTAATGCTGTGTACCAATTAGACTATAAGAATATGTAGTAGCATGGTTTGTCTATAGATGCTACAGAACTTACCTAAGAATTAAGTGTTATGATAGCAGTCTTTTCATGAAAAGATGCTATGTTCCATTAGAAATATTTAGATTCTTTAAGTTCTTACTGGGCTCTCCTTGGTTAATGGTAGGATTTCATGTCTACCTTTCCTCATACAGAGAATAAGAGCAGGAAGAATTCTCACCTATAGGATCTAGCATCAGAGAATGACTACAAAGAACTCACAGTGGTTATGACAATATATACAAGCCCCATGCAAACAGTAAGGCTGTTGTGGTCTAGATACTGTTTGTCCCCCAGAAAATCAAGTGCAAGAAACATGTTTCCCCAGGATCAGTGTTGAGGTAGCAGAACCTTTAAGAGATGAGGCTTAGTGGGTTAAAAGACCCATAAATGAATGAATGGTGTTTCAAAGGACTAAAGGACTATTTCAGACCGTCCAAGAGCAGTCTAGTTCCCAAGAAAATGCAGGCTGTCATAAATGAGCAATCTTTACTCCCTTTTGTCCTTACACAAATACATTACCCTTCTGTGCATATCCAATTCTTTTTCTGTTTCTCTACAATGTCTTGACACATTCAGACTCTGATATTTTTCAAAGTTGAATATTTTGTCTTTATACATTGTCTAGTAATGGGAGATCACTATAACAACACAAGATAGTCTAAGATATAGGCTGATAATCCTTTCCTAGCAGATTGATGTACTGGGTGGTTATGTGCATAGTGAATGTCACGCAGGAGTTTGTATTTTCCAATTTTATGTGTTGAGAATTTCCAAGGCTTCGACTTTACCTTTCTTTTTACTCATTTTCCATCGCTAAACAGATCTTGTAAAAGTAACTTTACCTGTTTGTAAATCTCACCCTCACAACATGATAGTCATTAATAACACATTCATTCATCCTTATAACTATATCATATATATGCTAAGAACTCCCAGTTTCTAAACTTGAGACCAGATTTCTCAGTGAGATTCAGATCACATGCTTGACATTAACATTTAAGCTACACAGAGACATCTCACAAACAACTGAACTGACTTTCCTGTTTTCCTCCTCCCATTCCAACCACAGTTGTTTCTCCTCTTGTCTTCCTACTTCTTGTCTTCTCTTACCCTCATCAAAGATAATACCTTCTACTATCCATTGAGCATTTTAAATACACATCTGTCCCTCACTATTTACTGGAGATTGGGTCTAGCAACCCACACAAAATTTGAAAAATTTCAAGTCCCTGATATAAAATGATGTTGTAGTTACATAAGAATTATAAATTCATTATATATTTCAGTAATTTCTATGTTATTTGTTTAATACAAAGTAAGTTTTTGTAAACACTTTGCTATACTACATTATTTACAGATAAGTGACCAAAAATATGCATTTGTAGTACAAGTACAATTTGTATCAAATTTAATTTTCCATAGTTGTTTGAATCAAAAAATATAAACACTAACCCAAGGATGCAATGGACAATTGTGGTTTTTTTCATTAAAAAATTTCGTATATCGGTACTGTATTTCTACCATCTTTCCCTCTCTCTCCTCCTTCCAAGTCTTCCACTACACACTTCCCATCAAATCCATGCTCTCCTTTTTAAAATTTTTATTGTTTTATGCATGCTTATGTATATACACACACACGTGCGTTCATTACATATGCATTAATATATAAATCCAATCTCCTGAATTCATTTAGCATTGCTCATATGTATATAATTTGGGGACTGACCAGTTGGGACTGGATAACCCATTGAGGACTCATCCTGAAAGAAGATGGATTCTCCCTCTTTTAGGAGCTATTAATTGACTGTAGCTATTGATCTAGAGGTCAGGCCTTGTGAGATTTCCTGCATCCGTGCTGGCACGTCAACTGGTGTTGGTAAAGGACAACTCTATTGCAATCGGTCTATCTACTTTATTCAGATAGCTGATCCCTATGCTTTTATTTCTGCCTTGTCTAAGACTATCCTCCCATTTGACAGCTTTCACTCCTGCCACTAGCTGCAGTGCTATCCACTGCAACTCTGTCAGAAGAGCAGGGTATACATTTCCAGGATGTAAATCACATCTTGTCTCTCTCCTTCACAAAGTCATGCAATGGCTTCCCACTGTAGGTAGGACGAAACACAAAGCCTCGTAGAGTTGGATTGCTGTTCACAATCCTTCAGCTGTCTGTTATACTTCTTGCCACTCACTCAGCTTCAGCAACACCGACCTTCCAGTTCTCCAACATCTATGTCCTGCCATTCCCACTTCAGAGACTATTGTCGTTTTCTCTGTGGAGAACTGTCTTCCTCTTATAGTTACCCTGTTAGTAGTACTAATCTCAGTTTCCTTCTAAAACGATTACACTTCGTTAGGAAGGTCTTCCCTAATCTTTCCCCAGTTGAGGTAGGAGTGTCCTTTATTTTTCTCTCTCACAGAAACTGTCTTCCTAGAGCAGTGACAACTGCACAGTTTCGCGCCATACTAGTCTCTGTCCCATCCAGAACACATGAAAACATATGGACCTAGCCTGAGAACACAGGGGCGTGAGGTCAGGAAACTTGGACTGCGTGATCAGTCTCTGGACCTCTGGCTCCATGTCCTTAAATTGAAAAGGTGAGACCAGATTTATTCATGCAAAAAGTATCATTTGCTTATGAAAAAAGATGAAGTCTCTTCTATCACAGAGCTTCCGCTGCTTTAAGGAAAGCAGGTGGTCAAATAAGACCAAGTAACTGCATGTTTTGTGCTACACAGGAAATCAGTATGTAAATATATGGTGGTGAAGGAATTTTGAAGTTGCAGTGTGTGTGTGTGTGTGTGTGTGTGTGTGCGTGTGTGTGTGCTTATGGTGTATGCATGTGGAAAGGTGCATCCATGTAGAGGGTCTAAATATGTGCTAATGTGTAGTGTGCTTAGAAGTCAATGGTTGGAGTGTCTTCCTCCATCATCCCCCATCTTATTTTTCTTGAAACACTGCTTCTTCACTGAATCTAGAGCTCACCCATTAGCCAAGAATACTGCCCAGCAAGCTCTAAAGATCTGTCTGGCTCTGTGTGTTCTCAACAGTACAGGAGTTGTAGATGAGCATAGCTAGTCCCAGCTTTTTACAGATGTGCTGGGGATCCAAACTCGGTTCTTGGGCTTACATGGCAAGCACATTATCAATTGAATCACCTCCCAAATCAGAGATCATAACATTTAATATAAAGGATAAGAAGAATAAGCAACAACCACAGCCAAGTAATAGCTAAGACCTTTCTTGTTCAGATAGTTTATGATTCTGTGTAAAATTATGCTGAATTTTCCAAGTACTGTGTAGGGAATTGATGCTTCATTAAAACTAATACCCAGTTCTCTGTGTATTCGGTAAAAGGAAATGAAAGTCTTAAAACACATACTCATGGAGTTGTCTGAAGAATAAAATCTGATAGTAAATATTAAGTTCATAGTACAATCACCATTTTGAATATATACATGAACTTTAAAGCATGAAAATCAGCTGCACGGTGGTGGTTCATGTCTTTAACCCCAACATTTGGGAGATAAAGACAGGTGGATCTCTGTGAGTTCGAAGTTAGCGTGGTCTACAAGGACTAGTTCCAAGACAGGCTCCAAAGGTACAGAGAAACACTGTCTCAAAAAACGAAGAAAAAAATATGTAAGTTACAGATAATAGCTACCTCTGCATTGGGAGATATAATTAGGACACGCTATGTAAAACAACGTGTCTTTTCCTTTTATTATTATTTATTTAATATTTAAACTAATAGTTTGCATTGTGGCCCTTTCTAATGTATATGTGTCAATATGTTTTGTACTCAATCTTCTTATCCACTGTCTTCCTCTGACCCCTTCCCGCTCTGTGAGTGCTTCGCCTCCCTGTCAGTCATTCTGTTTCCTGGTTTCATGTTACAGTTCACTATCTTTTCTTTCACTTTTATCATTCCTTTTAGACCTCCTCCTCTTCTCTCAAAATCCTCTTTTTTTTGTTTTGTGTTCTATTCACACAGACATAGCAACACCTAAATTTAAATCTAGGGTTCTGCTTAAGGAAGAAATATATGATGCCTTTGTAAGTTTGACTTATTTCACTTAGCATAATTATCTCAAGTTTCAGGCATTTTCTTGAAAATGTCAAAATTTTGTTCTATTCACGGCTAAAATACTCCGTTGTGTTTCCATGCCACATTTTCTTGTTTTTTTCTTATTATTTTGATCTACATATTCACTTGATACATAATTTTCACTGTTTATTCTTATGGTGAAGAATATTAGGTTGATTCTGTTTTTTCTCTATTGAGAATAGTACAGCAATAAACATATACAAACTTGAATTAAACCGTGATTCTTTTAGCTAAAAGTTCTATGTCCACGGGCAAGTTAAAACTACCTTTATCTATTTCCTCTTCACTGTCCTCATAAGTTATAATATAATGTATGAAATAAAATAAATTCTCAAAAGCATCTTAATTGTTATCAACATTGCTTTTATTCTCCTCTACCCACACAAAGGTAAACTAGAAAAGATTATAAACTCTGGAAATCAATCTTTCATTATCTGTCTCATTCTTTTATATTCCTCCTCAGTTAAGTGAGAGAAAACAACACATACCAAAAATTTGTCTGCATGCCAAATACTTCAGATTTTTCTATAGTTAGTTTCTCTAAACTGGCCAAAATGTATAAATCACATATAGAGAATTAAAGAAACAGAATTTTAAAGCCAAAGCTTACAAGTTTAAAACGGCAAAGGAACACAGACAAACCCACTGCTTCCTACAAGTTTACAATATGACAGATATGGACAAAGAGGACTCTCCAAGAGGTAAACGTTTTGAAGCTAATTTTCCCATAAACCATCACTGCCATTCTGGCCATACTACCTTACCTAACTGAAATTGATTGGAGACATTTCCACATGTTTGCATTACCTCCGGACTGTTCCATCCTAAAGGATATAGTGCACAGCCTGAGCTTATCAGCAGCCCTGGAAAGAAAAGCACACACACAAGTAATAAAACAGAGCAGTTTTTTGAACATTTTAACAACTTCCTTGGACTGCTTCACATTAAATTCTGCCTGACACTTATCTCTACAATACAGTATTTTTATTATATTGTCATTTCAACAGGATTACAGTGTCATTTCATAGGTAGTGAAGTGTGCTAGATAGATGATAGATAGATAGATAGATAGATAGATAGATAGATAGATAGATAGAT